AGGCACACAGTGTGGCCAGATCCGCCCTCAGCCCCCCAGTGCCCAGGGCTGGCCCGAGGCACAGGCAAGCCTCAGATGTTGGCTGCCCAGCCACCCAGGGCAGGACCGAGGTGCAGGCAAGCCTCGGATGGCAGCTTCCCAGCTGTCCAGAGATGCCCGAGGCTCAGGTAACTAGGGCCAGCCGAGGCTTGTGCTGCTGGCAGTGGCAGCAGCAGAAGTGTAATGGGGGTGTCGCCTCCTGACCCTGAGGGCTCCCGGACTGTGAGAGTAGGCCAGGCTGAGGGACCCCCCCCCCTCCAGTGCATGAATTTTCATGCACCAGGCCTCTAGTATTGTAATAACTATATATGGTGCTATAAGTCTATATAATAACTATATATAAATATATCAAGGGGAAGGAACACCTTGTAAAGTATGTGATTGTCTACCCACTGTGCTATACACCCAACACTAATGCAAAACAATGTTGAAAGTAAACTGTGATTGAAAAATAAATAACGTTAGGGAAGTGGACTTGCGTTTTCACCATCTACTTTATGTACTTTATGTCTTTTTGGAAGCTGGGACATTTGTTTCTCTTCATTCTCCTGGTACTTCCCACATCCTCCATAATTTCACAGAGAATATTGACAATAACCCTAGGATCATGTCTGAGATTCCCTTCAACTCCTGTGAGGCCATTCAGTTGAGCCCTAAAAACTTAGATTCATTTAAAGTGAACGATCCTCTTGCTATCTCCTAATCTTCAAAAAATAAATGTAATTTCACCTGCTTGGGGTTGTTTCACCTTTTACTGTTAGAAAAGTAATTCTGTGCGAGATCATGGAAGCCAGTGGCCTCACCAATGCTGATTGCTAGTCACATTGCATATTGCTAATTTCATCTATGCTATCTGAAATCGGCCTACAATCAGCTAACATTAACATCTGGCAGTAAGCCTGCTTTTCCTTCTTGTCGCTCTCACTCCAAACACAACCTTGAAAACTCTTCTTGCTCTGAAGTGTCACAGCTCCTTGTGAGCTTCCTTTAGAAAAAAAAAACAAAAAACCAACAACCCTTAGATGTTTATTTCTTAGTCTACTTGATGCTGTAAAAATGTGATTCAGTCTCCTTCCACCTGCCAATCATATACACCTTTTTAAAAATCTGAGCTGCTGAGAGCATTCTGTGTACCCTTAAGCATTTCTTCATGTAAATTTTCTTTCGGAAAGCTCATCTTGGAACCACACCTATGGAATCTGTAAAGAAAAATCCGTTTTCCTCAAAGGCAAAGTATGGCTAAAACCATGCCTCGGTTCTCCTCCTTACCCCGACTGGAAGATGGCTCAGTGTTTTTCCCCAAATAAACTGTCCATTTAACTAGCTCAACACTAAGGTTACTGACCAGCCCTCTTCCAGTAGACCTGGACTTCGAAGAGCAGTGTGTTTTATTACTTCCCCCACCCTCTGGGCGCCTCACCAGTAAGAGAAAGTTCCATGAAACGGTGAAAGTGATACGCCTAAACCGAACTCCAAACCGGCTCCTTGGCTTAGGGCAGGGGGTCCCATCCATCCACCCATGCACCCCCATCTTTTGAGTTTCTTCTCAAACATAAGTTTATAAGAGCACAGCTTTTAAGAGCTCCTTCCTAAGAACCTACCCTTCCACAAAGCAGTCACATCTACTGTGTAAACAAATATTTACCCAGTGTTTGGCAGTAGGCACTTGAGGGTAAAGCAGTGAATGAGAGTGCCCCCCTTTGGAACTCAAAGCCTAAAGGAAAGACGAACATTAAAATAGAAATTCCAAAGCCGGGAGCATTGAAAGAGAAGTCTAGAGCACTGTGGGCATCTATCATCTAGATCCTCCGTCTGAGGAGTCTGGGAAGACTTCACCGAGTTACGC